ACAGAGAATGTTCTTTTATATAAGTCAATGTATATATATGAGTGTAGCATATGAAGTATCTTAAATTAGTAGCTTTAGAACAGTATTGCTAGTGCCTTAAATGACTAGACCAGGAAGTGGGGGTTTTGAGGAGTGAGGGGGTAGGAAGTGAAGCATATTGCAGGTTAATTTCCATGTGTTTATGCTCATGCAGTGGTGATTTTAGGGACTTGTTATTACCCATTCCTGTAAGCAGTTGATAACGCAAAGCTGACTGCATTTGTCCTGGCTAAAAGGTATTCTATGCTCTAAAACTCATCTGTGTACTGCTGTCCTGGTAGGTGGTGAACTTTCTTCTCTTCTTTCAATACAGCAAGGATCTATCTCTACAGGCATCTGAAGTGGCAACCTGTATTTCCTAAAATCATGGATAGTCCAGTGGACTAGCTTAGTTCAAGCTTCAAGTTTTCGTATCACTGGGATTTGGCCAAGCAGGCATCTTCAGACTTGTCTTGGTCAAGTCCAGCTCCAACTCTGCTAATTCTGATTAGGAATTTGCATATAAAATGTTTCTGCTGAGCTGTAATGGTGTTTGGTGTAGATAAAAGACCTGGCTGAATTATTGCTCCATAACTTTACTAAGAAAGCCACCTGCGTCACTGTGAGTTACTTGAACCAGGTTTGAATAATGATTTTTTGATTTACAGCCCATCTTTTACCACATGTGTCACAACATGAACCCTTTTTCTTGTGATCAGCCTTGCCTGAAAGGCAGTGGATATCCTGGGTGATGCAATAGATGTGAAGGTTATTTTAGTAGTAGCTTCTCCCCAAGCTTACTGCCTTTTAACTCGCTCTTAAACTGGAGAGCATAAGCCAAACTCAGTCAAAGTGGCTGTTCAGTTACACCAGTCAGGAGAGAATCATCTGGGTTCTACAGACGAAGATTAATCAAGGACTTTCAAAACAAGGCAACAAACCTTCACACACAGGATTATCCTCCTTATAGACAATAAGGGGCTTAGAGTTAATGAGTGATGGATGGGCAAATACTGACAGGTGGACTATTACAGGAAACGTGGAATCCCTTTCCAACAGAGCTTAGTTGGTCAGTTTGAGTGGTCTTACAGCGTACCCTCAGTTTTCCTACAATGCTCACAAAAAGTAATAGTTATAAATGCGTAAAATACTTTTTTTTTTACCACCAAAAAAAACCCCAACCCAGTCTCTTTGCATTAATAGGGCAGCAACAGACCAAAGTCTCTTGATCTTCCTGTAAGAGTTTACATCAAGAAATCTTCCTGTAGGTCAGAGAAACCAAACTTAAGTTTTATGAGGTGTTACTGTAGGCTTTACTTCCCTGAAACTTTTTTCACTGTCTTCTGACATGGACTGTCCTGAGCTTAGACGGTTAGCTCATGAAAATTTGTCTTGCAGGTTTTCCAGATTGAAAGACTGTTCATGTTTCATTGTTGAAGATGAAGCCAGCTAAAGCAGAGATTTTCATTGTCTCTGAATAACTTCTGCCTGCTGTTCCAGTAGATCAGACATCACACCACCTCTGAAATAGCCGTTATTTTAATGGAAAATGAAGGAAACGTTAAAGTTACCAATTATGCTCTTAAGTTATTGCTGCAGGTAAAGTGATTCATCCCTTGCTGCAGGTAAAATTGAACATCCTGCTGCTGTTTTTTCCCTTTTCCTGCTTTCCCTCTTTGATTTTTGCATCAGTTTCACACTGAAGAAAGGCACCTACAATTCAGGTTTTAGTCCAGGCTTAGGACTACTGCTGCTATGTAATGGTGAAGTTAAACCATCAAAAATTTTTTGTTTCTAATACAGGTCGTAGTGGCTTTTCCTATCTTCTACATATACAATTGAGTCCTTGCAACATGCTACTTTAAAGAATAATTCCACCTTTAAGTAAACTATATACTTTTATGCAGTGCTTTCTATCCTATCTTAAAGAACTTTGCAGAAGTGCTGTATAGTGTCCACCAAAACCATACACAAGAACTGAAACATACCATACGGTTTTGTGTAAGTTCAGAGAAACTCAGCCGAAATGTATTTTACTGGAACTGATACTTTTTAGAAGTGCTTTATTGTAATGGCCTTGCACTCTCATATCAGTCTCAGACCAAGATCAAATTATACACATGTACAGAATTAATGCTTTATGTGTGATTCAGAGTACACATTAGCTAAACTGTGTTGCCATATAGGGTTATGCTACTTTTTTAACGAATCCAAAATTCTTTTAGTTCCTCCTGCGTAAAATACAGCGTTTGTCATTATTCTACAGTGCTGCAGCATTCGTGATGCATTAACCAAGGTGAATGTTTAGCACAACCATGGTTTCAGGCACGAACCTCGCTCCTGCCCTGAGGCGGGGTGTGTTGAGAGATAGCGAATCTCGCCTGTACAGCGTTTTGGAGCGCTGATTATTCCTAAAGTTAGATGTGACAAGCGCATGAACACTTGCCGCTGAGCGAGGCCTTCGGTGGAATAGCCTCTACGTGGTGCCTGCTGTTCTCAGCTGCCGGCCCTCCTGCAGATCCCACCGCAGAGGGTGAGCACCTCATCCTGAGCTCCCCTCCGCCAGGGCCGCACAACTCCCGCTCCACCGGGCGAGCTTTGCCCGCCGTGCCGAGCGCGGCGGAGGCGCTGTCCGGCCCCGGCCCGGCGCGGGGGTTGCTGCGGGGCGCGGGGAACGGGCCCGGCCCCGCCCCTGCGCCGCGTGACCGCCCCGCCCCGCCCCGCGGAGGTGTCAGCGCGGCTCTCGCGAGAGGTGACGGAAGCCCGCGGGGGACCCGGCCTTTAATGTGCGGTCCAGCCGCGTTCCGGGTGAGTTTGTAAACACGGCCCGGCCCGGCTCGGCCCGGCGCGGTGACTCCTCCTCCCTCCGCGCTGCGGCGGCGTCGGGCGGGCGGGGGCGGTGGGGCGGGAGCGGCACGGCGAGGCGGTGGGCGGGGGATGCCCGGGAGGCAGTAACATGGCGCCGCCGCTCCTCTCCGCGGCAGCCCCCTCCCCCAGCGCGGCCTGCGGCTCCCGCCGCCCCTAGAGCGGGGCGGGGCGGCCCGGCCGGCGCCGCGGACACCGGTACCCGCCCGGAGGTAGGGCCTGGCGGGCGGCCCGGGACGCAGGGCGGCGAGGCGAGTGAGTGAGTGGGTGAGTGGGTGGGTGAAGAGGGTTGCAGCGCATCCGGGAGCGAGGTGCCCCACGGGGGCATCGCCAGAAGCTGCCCCGGGCCCGGCCCGCGGCGCGGAGGGCGGGAGGAGAGGGCAGCCAGGCCTCGCCTTTCCGCCTCGCCTCTGCTCCAAGGAGGCCTTCTGCATCCATCTTCGCCTCTGGTCCATGCCAGTGCTGGTGCCGAGAAGGGTACGGGTGTGGGGGATGCCGGGCGCGGGGGTGAGAACAGCTTTTCTGCACCGGAGGGAGGTGTTGGCCTGCCTGGTATCTGGCCATGGAGCTGAACCGCCCGGACCAGTTCCTCATTGACTTTGCTTCTTATCGTGCATAATGCCTCTCGAATTGTCAAATAAAAGGTCTCTGAAGCTTTCACGTGAATAAAACATGTCACAAACCCCAATTAGTGATAGCTGTATGGGGTTTTAGGCACAAATGTTTTATGTCAAGATGTGACTTCATGTTTGGAGTTAGGGGAAATGTGTGCTGCCATGTTGCTTCTGCAGTCTTACTCATTCTACAGCGTTTTTGCATTCCTGTTCTTGGGGGGAGATCCCTTAGTGTGTTTTTATGCCCTGTTTATGCACTCTGTGTCACTCACTTGCTTTTCATTCTGTTGCTTTCTCCCAGAGGTGTTTATCTTCCATTAGTGATGCTGTCACCTATTTTCTTGTGCTGAAATGAGAAGTTTGAATAATCTGAACATTCTGAATCATCCCCTACTTTCCAAACAGTGACCACAAACATGGCTGAAATGTATTTTATTTGCCACCTTTTGAAACAGTGGTTTTGTTTTCTTTTTGACATATTCTGGTTATGGCAGTGAATGTCACAGCCCCACTTCTTGCTGAATATAAAGCCAGATAAGAGGTAATAAAAACAAATGTTCTGAAGTTTGGGTACTAAGACTGCTAGGTCTAGTTAGATGCTAAATTCAGCACAGGCTGATAGGATTGGACCAATCCTTGTGGTTTTGGTCTTCCACAGGTGTTGCAGGTGGATTTTCTTCAATCATCCACTGAAGCAGGTTGCTGTCTGTTAATGGACATAATTTCAGAGGGACAAACTGTAGTCCAGTTTGGCATTCATTTGAATTAACTCTCAAGTGTTTATAATTATGCAATCTAGAATCAAAATTGTCATCTCGTTAAAAAACGAAACAATAATTTTGTCAGGGACTGGTTGTTATATAATGCTTCAAAAGAGTTGTCAAATAATAAGAAACCTTAATGTGTGCATAGAGTGAAACAGCTCTTTTAAAAATCCATTGGGATTTTATGTTTCAATACTGACATTGCATGCTAGTGTTTAATCAAGTAGTTGAGCTTTTGATCTTCCTCATAGTGTAGATGATATTTCTACCCTGACTTGAATTCTGGAAATATTAGTATGTTTGTTAGGTCTTTTTCCAGAAACTTCTAGACTATGCAGTATCTAAGGTGCTTTCAGATCTTCAATTTCATTATACATACTTTTATTTATAATCTTGTTTTTCATGCCACTTTTCTTTTATGACCACATGGAGCAGCATGAACTATGGTATTATTTTCATTCTTGTTTCATTAAATTTTGAATGTGCCCAATGCTAAAAATTCCTTTTCTTTCATCAGCTTTTTTTTTCATCTACTCTTAATTAACTTAAACTTGCAAATTTACCTCAGTGGAGTTTTCCTGACTTAAAGTTGTAATATCAACATTCTTAATGATTTCTTAACATAGTCTTGAGTGTCTGTATAAAAATGATGCATTTTCTATTTTCAAAGGAGAAAATGTGAATTTAGTGATTCGAAGTTTTATTTTAATGTTGAATAGATTTCAAGTTACCATTGTTTTGCATACAATACACACTCTCAGGAGGCTTTGGATATAGTTAGTGACAGAAGTATTAGTCAATATTTAATAATCATGCAATAAATGCCATTTTTTTCCCACATTTATGGTGTACTGTTTGCAGCTTTATTCAGTGTCAGCTTCAGTTCAGCCTGAGAACTTTTCCATTAGCTTCGCTTCAGATAAGAGTTTCTCTTCAGCAAGGCATTCCAAGCAATATATTATGTTTCCTTCTCAGGTAAATTCAATGGTCATTTATATAAGTGCTTACAGGAAAGAAAAAGGTCATTCTGTTTTAATGAACAAGAAGAATCCTCTAGTGAGGTATTTGATATATTTAAAGAATTTTTAGAATTAAATTCTTAATTAATTAATTCCATTTTAGACTTCAAGGATGCAGTCTTAAGAAATTGTGAAAAGCAAGTAACTTTTTGTTAAGCCTCTTTTTTAATTTGTTGAAACAGGTGTAGGAAAATGAGGTTGGATTTCTAATGTTTGTTAGGTTGAAAATGTGCAAACCTAGATAAATGAACTGGGGAAAGCAAGCCCTAATATCTGCGTAAGCAAATCGTGAGAAGATGGGAGGGATATTAACCTCTCTGTATTTCTTTTATGAAGTTGATTGATGTTTTGCTTATCTACAAGAACTGTATTCACACAGCCTGAATTTTTAGGAAGTTAAAGAAAGATCAGGCTGTCTCTGAAAAGTACTTAGGCCAGAGGGTTGAATTAGAAGCCACCATGTTCAGCCAACAGGAAGTGTTAGGCCTAAGGACCTTTCTCTATGCCGTTAGTGCTCTCTGTGTACCAGAAATGTATCTTCTTGTGGAAGAAGCCACTCCTGCAGCTGAAGGAATTTAATTGCTTTGTTTCTGTATATGTGACTATCTGTCCCACTGGCTGTTTTGTTCTTATTGGAACTTGTTAAGTCAACCATATTTTCTCCTTGTCGAGATACTCTGCCCTTTATAGAATTTAGACAAATGGTGGAAGATACGGAATTAACTTTAGACATCAGATTCTAGCAGTTAACTGATAATATCAGCAAAAAATGCCTAACATTTGACTTTTTAAAAGAAAAGAATTGAGTCTTATGCTAGCAATGTATTGTGAAGAAGGAGCTCCTGTTTTCCTGTTTGCAAGCCATTGCTATTCATGAGCTTTAAATAGTCTGGCCTATGGCTTGTAGTTTTCTTGCAGAATCTACAAGGTTACGTTCTGCCAATCCATCCCACTTTCATTATGAGGAGGAATGTTTTAATTTTTCAGTTTTATCTCCTCCGTTTCCTTCATTGTTCAGTTTTATTTTTTAGGAATGCCAAATTTGACAGTGTTGCACAAATGCAGTCAGATCACTTCTGGAAGTGCCTTGTAATGGTCAAGTATTAATTTCACTGTTTTTGCTTTATAGGAAACAGGGAATATAGCTCCAGTTCCTCCAGGTAAGTAGAGCAATGGGGTTTTTCTTACTTTTAAAATACAAATTACTTTTTTTCAAATTTATGTCCCTTCTTAAGTGATGTATTCTTATTTTTACTGAAATCACAACTTGCAAGTCTACCTGTATAGAAAATTGTGGAAATAAAGATAGGCTCAAATGCGGGAAGTGATTAAAATTTATGATGCGAATGCTGTGTGCAAATGTTGAAAGTATGAAGGCACCATTTTAATTTTGATTTTTGTTGTTATTTGTTTGGTTGTATGAAAAAGCCATCTCTTAATTATGAGATGTTTAAATTTAGAAAACAAAAATAGCTACCTCTCCCCTATCTAAAACATATCGTGGAAGGAGCTAAGCAAAACACTAAATTCATCTCTCCAGGTAACCATTAAGAGAATGTTATTCTTTACTGTGGCAAATATGTTCAGTTTACTTTACTTTGAATAAGTATGTACGCTAAGTAGAACTCTTAAAAGTTGATAAAAGTTAAAAATTTTGACCTGGTTCTTTTATGCTTCGGTTTCCTATTATAAAATGAAGCTTTAAAGTAAAGTCGTACATTACCTAAAGTAGTTATACACTATGATGAGATCAACAGAAAAATTTAGTAAGAATTAATAATTCTCTATACAGTAAGGCTTTGTGTCTTGCAGTAAAAGGGGGCACAATCACAGATCCAATAATGAATAAAAGGAAATGTTGACTACGCATGGTCAGTGTTGAGGAAATGCAAACATCCGTAGGAGGATGCATCGCTAGTACTGTAACATAAGCACTTTGTGGTGTTTGGACTCAGAGGGGACCGAATGCTGATGGCCTGCTGTAATTCTGACTTGTCTCAGTGGCCTGATACAGCTTTTGTCCAACTTTCATCTTTTTCAAACCAGAATGTACAGATGTTTCTTGGGTTGGAGCCACATGCAAGTGGTCAGTGTAGCTGCAGGGCTTGGGTGTGCTTCTCATGTAAGCAGTAGGGGTTAAATCAGGTACTGCTGTAGCTGCAGACTGACAGATTGTCCTCTGTGGAGTGTCCAGTTTAGGAGGGTGGCACACTTGAGAGAATAAGCATCTCTTCTTGCATGTTGGCCAGAAGAAGAATGCTGTCCTTCAAAAGTTTTACGGTTTTTGTTTGTTCATGGGGTTATGTGTGTACATAGCTGTTTTTTCTGTATTCAGTTCTGGCCGTTTTCTTTTGTGCTGTTTATTCAGCCCTGATGTTACAGGAGGGCAGTCTGTGTATTGCTATAGTGCTTAAAATAAGTAATCATGGGTAAGACATAGCCTGTGAGCAGCGCTGTGCATGGATGTCTTTTTGCACACACCTTGTTTTCTACAGGTAGAGGCTTTAGCTGCAAGTCTGGTGAGTCTTTACTAGGTATGTGTGAAGAATTACTTTTCTCAGCAAATTTGAAGACGTTTTTTCCAGGACTATTGAGATATATATGTATGTATATATATATACACATTTTAAACAGCTGCTTGAATGTTCACTAGAAAAATTTTGAAACAAGCTGTCATTTGTAGTTTCCATGCTCCTATATGTAGGCAATTAAGAGCAAACAAGAATTGTTACCAGTTAAATAAGCCAAGACATGGCTTAAGTCAGTGTAGGCTTCTATTCTTTGTAAAATTGTCTTCTGAAAGGTATTTTGGAAGAAAGCCTCAGACTATGTAGTAATAGTTTCCACCAAGTGTACCCAAGGTGTTTAATTAAAATCTTATGGAAATATGCAGGTAATTGTTGAAGCTATTTTTGTAGTGCATTTAGATACATATTAATATGACATTTTATGGATATATTTTTACTTTTTGAATAAGCACACTGCCTTAAATATTAGTGAAGCACTTGCAAATTCATTTTTATTTCTCCAGGATTCCTTCAGGAACCGTCTTTTTTTCTATGGGACAAGGTGTTAGCTGTTGTCTTGGTAACAGTCCAGGGTGACTGTAATTCCCCTCTAGTGACAGGGTTATCACTTCCTGTATTACATTTCTCATTTGGTTTTAACAATTTGGGTGTAATTGGGTGAGTAACATTTTTGTCAAGACAGCATCTAAGTTGCTATTTTGATTTTCAGCATATTTTCTAAATTCTTCTTTCTTACTGTGATACTGTCACTTTGAGCAATCAGTCTACAACAGAGAGAGACTCTTGCAATTAGAGTGGCAATTACAAACGTTTTTTTTCTGAAAATTTGCCTTCTCTGTGTTAGTTTTGTTATCCCTGTCAGGCAACATGCAATCCAGAAGGAAAAGAGGAGGCAAAGGATGGGGTTTGTGTGTATTTTATAGCAGCAACAGATTTTTGACCACAGAGTCTTCTAAAGGTGTCAGAACATGACCCAAGTTTGGACTGTCCATTGCAGTTGTTCATCTCTGTTCCTTGCCATATCGTCTTTATGGTATGCTTTAAATTTCAGAATTATCTTGGATTGCTCAGAATTTTATCCAGTCAAATTTTGAATTTCTGCAAGGCTGAGATTCCACAGCCCCACTTGGCAACCTGTTCCAGTGTTCAGCAAGCCCTCACTGTGGGATTTTTTTTTTAAATCCTGTTTTCCTCTTCCTCTACACTTGCTTGTTATTTTTTGGGTGTTTCTTGTGAGTGTTGCACCTCATCCTTTTATTGTACTCTACATAAAATCTGGATCTGACTTTTCTGTCTCAATACATTCGATAATTTAAGACAGCAAGCAGATCCTTAGCACTTCTCCATTCAGAACAAACTTTGCTTCCTCTTGTTATGTAATAGCCCAGACTAATTGTTTTGATAGAGCCCCAGATGTTTTCTCTCCAGTTCATCAGCTGTCTTGAGGGGCTCAGCTCTGGATATGGCACTTCAGCTGTAGTCTTTGAGTGCCAGATAAAGGACAATAATCACTTCCCTTCATCTCATTGCTGTGCCTTTGCTACTTCATTCCAGTAGCCTCTTGTCTTTCAGTGCTACAAGTGACATGACGCTGAATTGTGTTGGTTTTGTTGTCCACCAGGAGTTGCAGGTTCTGCCCCAAAGCTGCTTGACAGCCAGTTACCCCTCAGCCTCCACTGTTGCATGCAGTTATTTTGTTCTAAGTGCAAGTGTTCTAAGTTCTAACGCTAAGTTCTTGCGTTTGTCTTTGTAATAGGTAGATACAGTTCTTATCAATTTGGCTGCACTAATGAATGTGAGCCCTTTGTTTTCCCATCCTTTCAGATCCAGTTCCTGTTTAGATTTAAAATGTCCAAGGTCTTGCTTAGAACACGAGTGAACTTCTTTTTTCTTTGAGGTGCAAAAATTCCAGTGCTTCAACATAATTTTTTTCCTCAGATGTTATCCGGAATCTCTTTACAAGGGATTACCTCACAAAATTCCATGTGACCTGCTGTCAAATAATGTTACAAAGATGAGGAAATGAATTTATCTCCAACTTTTTTCCAGTAAGTTTGCCAGAAGGACAGGGCTGCTTTTCTTTTTACAAGGATTGATTTTTTTACTTGTGTATCAGACATTCAAAATTCATAGGCTTCACAAACTAAGACATGGAACCAGCTAAGAAATTCGTATGCAAATATGAGCTTTGGTAATGTTCCTTGAAAAGAGAAAATGAATGGACCTAAAAAATTTACATCTCCTCACCTAGGAAAAATATTGACAATATGGAGAGAGTAGATTTTATGGCTGAAACTGCATCTCTCAGAGACTGGCAGCAAGACATGGTAACTGAGTGGAAAAAATGTCCTACATGCACTTTGGTTAATCAAAATCTTCATTCTTTGGATAAAAAAACCCAAATCATAATTGTCTCTTCCACCATTAGGCATTTCTGATATGGCTGTTACTTGTCTACTCATAATACATATCCATATGTGCATATTGCCATTAAATAAATATGCAATGCCTTATGATTACAGGATTAAAAAAATCGAATTCCTCTTGAGATCTACGTCCGTTAGATTGAGCCTGCATTTAAAGAAATGAGATTGTTGCATAGCTGAAGAATAATAAGCTTGTGGGATAGCTGTTGAAGTTCCACATATTGTAAGCATATACTCTTAAAGCGTCATGGATAAGGACTTTATTTCTTACCCTGAAGCCTTAGTCATGAATATTCAGACTTGCCCATAATTGCATTAATATTCCTTATTAGTGAAAATATCAGGTTCGCAGTTTGAATAGTTCAAAAAATACTTCATTCCTTCAGAAACTTGAGACAGGTTATGAACTCTTTGCAAAGAACAGCGCAACAGTCTTCAACCCTGATTTGCTTTGGCATCCTTCCTTTGGGATGTAAATGTTTCCCTGAGCTGTCAGTGCCAAAGACTAAAGTTTCTGGCAGCCATTCATCTCTTCTTGACTTCTGATCTCAGCTCAGTATCCTCATTCCTTGAAACATACATATTTAGAAGTGACAGTTTAGAATCTCCTGCATATTATGTTTTTTCTTGCTTTGCTGTTGGGTGTACATTACTGAGGACACTGAGATCTCCTTCTCTTTGAAGGAATATACAAAAAAGTCTGTACACAGTATGTTTCTACTGTACAGGTGCATCCAGAAGGATCAGATACTGTGTTCCCTACAGATCTCTGAGGTAATAAGTCTGAAATTATTTGCTTATGCTTACTTGATATATCTTGTACCTAGTGCTCATATGTGTACCAGAAGTGTACATTCTTAGGATGGTTAGACAATTTGAGAATCCTTGCAACTCTGCATGACCAGCATGCTGGGGAAGAGATTGATGAAGCAAATAAAGATGAATAAAGATGTTTTTATGATTAAAGATCATAGGCAGAATAAATCAATCTAAGTAATGTTCAGAACTAACATTGTTAGTTCCCCATACAAATACTCATTTAAGGACGAATGTAATTCCTCCAGGGTAAAGCCACAGATGCCACAACTAATTAGAGGATGTATTGAAGTAAACCATTTATTTGAAAAACTGTTGCGTTTCATAGGTGAATAGTGGACATGTTATCATTTGTCTTTACAAAATCATATTCATTATTATATTTTTAGCTTATATAGTAATTAATATCTTCTTTTAGTTACAGTTCATTGCCATGAAAAGGAGGATATGATAGTTTGCCCTATGAAACAGGTTTATATGTGAAATCTGGCAGGTAGGTGTATTTGTATGTGGGGTGAGTATGCAAAACAGCACTAAATATCATTAATATCTTAGTTCTTTCCGAAGTATTTTTAGCCTGTCAGTAATTTAGTAGATGAAACATTACTGAAGTAGATGTTTTTGTAATTAAATTTGTTAACAGTTTACACAAAGGGCTGTGTGCCAACTAATCTCTAATGATGATCTTTATTTAAAGATTGTGAAAAGGCTAAGGAATGAACACTTCTTCCTCCCCTCTTGGCACCAGAGCCTTGACTGCATGGTCTTGTCTGCTGCTTTGATCTCTCTTTAACTGTGAGAATTGGATCATTGTTGCAGTGTATTTGATTTCAGTGACAAGTTGTTCTTACTGAGTTTCCAGATACTTTATGCAATTATTCATGTTGCATGTGAACATGTGGATTTCTGATTCAGAGACTGCTGTGGTGGCTTTGTGTACCTTCCTAACAGAGCTTGAAATCCATACTCTGTTTGAATCATGGGTATTTAGAATATTGCTATAGTCAGAAGGCAGAAATTCTTGTGCATAGAATATTAAAATATGGATGTTGATATATTGATAATTTGTTGCATTATTTATAAAATTTGTTGCATTCTAATTTTAATATAGGTAGCACAACGACCTGTGGAATATGAGTGATGACAAACCCTTTTTATGTACTGCCCCTGGATGTGGCCAGGTAATGGACTGAACTGAAGTTATTAGCATTGTTCAAATAAAAGTAAAACAGTGAAATGTATTTTTAGGGATTGAAGAAAAGGGGCTTTTTATAATTGCTATGAAGTATTTATGTTTTGCTGAAAAGCAAGAATTTGTAGCATGTTATGTATTTATCCAATATACTATCCATAGAAGAAAAAACAAATTGTGCTAAAAACAATTTCATTTACTAGCCTTGCTTTACTTGCTTTCGTTAGAAACATAATCAAGAAACAACCTAATTTGGATCAGATGACCTGCATTTTCTAGAGTATTTCAGTATTGGTGGGGTGCTCAGTGTGAAGGTTGCTTGTCACTAATCTTCATAGCTGTGGTGTTTGCAAATATTTAGTAGTGATGCAGATATTTTATGTATGTGGTTGTGTATAGGAAGACGATAACAATATTCATGCCACAAAATATATTTCAATTCCTATAGTAGTTTTAATGCATTCTAGTAAAAAGCTTTAGTGTATATATGTAGGTGAATGTGAGCAGGGAGATAAAAATATTATGGAGTATTTTAGGAGATGGTTGCTTAAAAGGAAGCTGTCTTAACACTTATATTTAGTAACCTGAAAATAAGTACATTTGCATTATCTGGTGCATGAGAGAGACATCCCTGCATCCTTCGTATAAAATTAATTTCATAAGCTGATTTTTTCATAATATAATGGCTGCTGCCTTTATATAGAATTGATTTCTTAAACAAGATGTTTTTCTTTATATTTGTGTACTTAGTTTTATTAGGATTTTGAATTCAATATGCTCTCATTTTTCTTCTGAAAACTTAGTTTTTATGATGAATGACAGCATTAATGTTATATTAATGTAGTCTTCTGTTTTTAAGCAGAAGAGGACTAAGATTTCTTTTTCTAAGGTGTCTAGAATGCTCAGAGACATGAAAAGTAACAGAAGAGGACTGTTTTCTCCATTTGTCTCCATCCTGTCTTAATCTCATTGCAGTGTAGACTGTCAGAAGTTTTGGTAACTAAATCTCACAGAAGACACATCAGCAGCCCATAATTGCAGGGGAGATGAAGAGAGAAGTTCATGTTCCAGCAAATGGGCAAAGCTGCTCCAGATGGCAGCTTCGTACTGTAGAACAGAGAGGGAGTCAGGCTCTGGACATGCTCTTCCCTCTGGAAGAGCTGCTCCACCACTTAGTGAGGACAGAAAGATACACTGAAGTCTCTTAGCATGATAGAATGTAGGAATTTCTGGCTTATGCTGTGTGCAGAGATAGGGCACAGGAGTTATGAAAAGCTGGGCATTTGCAACTCTGGGCAGTAGAGTTCTAAGGAAAAAAAAGTCACTTGCCTGTTTTACCCAGTCTTACAGTGATCCTGCATTTTTAATTTCCCCCACAGTTCCACAAGCACATGTCTTTCTATTGGAAACATCCTGAATTACTGTCCTCTGAGGTCAACTCATTTTATGTATTAGTTCCTGAGAGGTGATTTTTGGCATGGATCTGTTCTAAGATATAGCTGGAGTGACTGAAATTAGTGAGGTGTAAACAGAAACATAATTTGAGGCTCAAATGTTCATGAAGAAAAATAAGAATTTCAGTGTTTTGTGTAAAATGTGTTCTTTTTAGGAAAGCTGCATCTTGGGAAACATTTTCTTAGATTATGTCAATTGAAACACTAACTTCACCCACAATTACAGATGCACAGCAAATTAGTGAAAATAAACAAATAGTGGCAGTAGGAATATCTCTTTTGCAGCACTTAGTTTGTCAACTTACTGCTTTTTTATAGCATATACCCCACATTTTGGGGAAAGTACGCATGAAACGAGCAAACCTGAGAGATTTTTAAAATGCCAGTAGGTTTAGTTCATTCACAGCATTTAGGTTGTCTGGCATTGTTCTAGTGTTCCCATTCTACCTGCCCCTTGTTTTGTGTAGTAAATGGTCAGGGGCAGGAGCCACAGTATATTTTATCTTTATGCTGTTAAATGCACTGAAGTTGGTGATTACAGACCAATTCTCATTAATGTGGTAATACACACAATGCACTAATCAGGTATTAGTGATGAATTACTAGACATTGTCAAGATCCATTAATACAGCAAATGGCTGTTTGCTGGTGGTTGATGGAGGCTGCAGCACTCTGGAATGTAATCTTGGACTTTTGATGAATGCAGGTACTTGCACTGAAATTTCTCTGGTATATTTAGTTATTATCAATATCATTTGAGATTTATAATATTTCTGCTTGGTACTGTTGACCAAGAAATAAAATATATCTGCCTTAGAGGGTTGCCTTTTAACATAGTAATGGTAGTTTTACATGCTGTAAAAATTCTTTTCTGTGGAATGGCATTTGTTGTGTTCACGCTCCCAATTACAACGGTTTCTTAAAACTTTCTGCTGCAGCGTTTTACCAATGAGGATCATTTGGCTGTCCATAAACATAAACATGAGATGACACTGAAATTTGGTCCAGCTCGTAATGATAGTGTCATTGTGGCTGGTAAGGATATACTTTCGTTAAGTTTGTTCACTTTTCTGCTGGAATGGGCTTTATGCATTTGTGGTAACATAATAATAACATAATGCATAGGTTTACATTAAGAGAATGTGATACATTTTCTTCACTACACTAGCCTGCAGTGTATACTTAGGCAGTTTTTTCTTACATAATTCGTGTCTGATTTTGAAGCCAATATTATTCTTCATAAGTTACTTATATTCGTGTCTGATACATAATCCAAATAGTTTAAAATTATCAATACTTAAATAATTGATTAAATTTTACAAGCGTTCTGTAAAAACCTGCTAATAAAGGCTATGCCGAAGACAATCTGTAACGAAATTAAACTGTATTTTAGTTTTAATTCATTGATATTGTCTCTTAAATTTTAAAATATGTAGCGTCTTTTACATACCATGGTGATATTAGATGAATGAATCAGTGATTATTCTTCTGATGAGATAATAGAAGAAAGATCAAATCTTTTGTTTTCATTTTGGCTTAAATTCAGAGTACTTTATTCCCACCTCTGAATTCATGTTATACCCTTAGAAATTACAACTTTTGTCGAAGATCAGACGTAATCACCAATGGATGATTGGTTGCATTATAAATTTGGGAGTTTTTTAATTAAGATAGCATATGCTAAGTATGCTGAAGTTACAGTCAGTCTGAGTTTTTTTCAGTGGTGGAGCAGCGTAAATGAACTTCAGAAAGACTTTCAGACATTTTCTGGGTTTTTTAAAATTCTAAATGTGATCCTTGTCAATTACACCACAAGAAAAGGGACCTTTCAGATAATCAGGTGTTTAAAATCGAAACCACGAGAGTGTCTCTGTGCAGCCACATTCCTGTGTAGGAGCTATTGTAGACACTAGGCTTAAAAGTCCACACAATCTTACCACTTCACAATATTTTAAATGTAAATAACCTCATGGCAAGTGTGGTTAATTTTGACCTGATAATAACAGTGGAATAAGGCAAATTTATGTACTAACAGGAATTTTATATAAACATGTTTTTGAAACTACTTCATGGAGTAGTCACCCAGATGCCAGAAGTCTTATGGTTGGAGCTTGCTACAGAGGCATCATAGGAATCAATACGATATTGTGCACAGTCTCACTTTGCTGTAGAAGTTCCATGCACTTGGAAGTAATCACTAGTATTGTCAAATTAGGAAAAGACAGAAGCAAACTGGCTTTTAGCTGTGCACTTTACTCATTTGTTTTCTAATTAAAAGTCTTCATGTAGTCAGTATCTTTATTTGAAAATAGAGTCTGCTTGCTCATTGAAGTGTTCTGCTGTGCACTGGAGAATAGCTCCCTGTGGTTCATGCCACGAAGGAAATGCTGTGCTTCCCTGCCAGCGTTGTCAGGGGCTCGGTGGTTTGCAGGCTCCGGGTGCTTGTCTCCAGCAGGTGGAGTTTGCCTTCCAGCTGCCTCCTTGCAGGGCAGAATGCAGCCCGAGGGTTCCCAGCCACCTCCTCCTCCTCTCTTTCCGTTTGTTTGTATTCTGAAAGTTATTTACAAGTAGGTTTGTAAATGGTATTGCAAAAATAAAATTGTGGGCGTTTTATACACTCCTTTTCAGATCAGACACCAACACCAACTCGATTCTTGAAGAACTGTGAAGAAGTGGGCTTATTCAATGAATTAGCAAGTCCTTTTGAAAATGAGTTTAAAAAGGCTTCTGAAGATGACATTAAGAAAGTATGTTGAAAACTTTTTTTTTCGTCAGATCTTCTACTTTTTTATATCAGAAATTCCCTTGAAAAAACAAACTTTGGATTTATATATGGCCTTCTAAAGTATACCAATAATCATGTTAGCTGCTAATATGTGTTGTATGTAGAGAATACAAATCTTTGATTACTCTTCTGGTTAGTTTACATGATTTTTCATAGTTAGCAGTGACAATGGGACACATTGTCCTAATCATATATGATCCTATATCTGTTGAAGTTAACCACTAGTTTTGATTGAAATTTTCTTAGGTCCTCAACAAGCAGAAAAGAAATCTGAAAAGTAAAGAGTTTTTAGCAGAAAGAAAAACCCATGTGAAAGCAATAGTATATGAACACTGATCATTTTGTTTAGTTTTGAAATACGTTACTGTAAGAATCAGTCATAATGATAATGAGAATTAAGGACTGACTAAATTTAAAGAAGTGTCAGTAATTTGGTTATGATTATATTCATTAAGTGTTGAAATCACTATTGCCTAGAAATAATTGATTACAAAATAAAGATCTACTTATTTTTTAATGTACAGATTGAAATATAAGAAACTTGAACTGTATCTGCTTAGCAGCTTCATGTTTTTGTGAGGAACTTGCCATACATTTAAGTGTTACTCTTGTTATTTATTTCAGTGCTTCCCAGTCATAACTGGTTAGGAGCCTAAACATTTAAATACTTGTGCAAGTAAAAAGTTTTGTTCAATGTCCCCTTTGAATAATAGTTGATTATCTGGTTGACTTCTATAGGCAGTGATTGCAAATGGTTTTATACTCATTTATATAGGTTTTGCAGAATCAGTAGCCTCATTTTCTTTATTTCAGTAAAAGTTTTGAGATGTACTTGTAAATAGGATGGATTATTATCCATTCCTGACTAAGCCTCACTCTTGCTTTGTAGCCACAACTGTATCAAATAATGAATTTATAAGTTTACTTTTTTTAGTTGCTTTTTTGTATGCTGACTGTTTTTATAACGTGACATAAGGTAAAATTGATTTTTAATTTACCAAGACTATATTTTCTGTATAGTTTACTAGTGTCTTGGAGAAGGTTATATGTATTGCAATGTATTTTAAACATTTTGTTTATTACTTTAATTGATACTAATTTTCCAAACTACTCTCTGTGTTACAAGAAAAAACACAGTCCTGCCGTACCTCTGGATGATTTATCTATATAAACAATCATGGCAAAGTGTGGAAAAAAGTACCATAACAGTATATTTTCTAGGGGATTGATAGTTGAGTTTTTCCTGTAATATTTTATAGTCACTTGTGGTATGAGAAGAGATTCCACTTCTTACAGTCTTCTCAGTCTATTAGTAGTATATTGTGCAGGAAAACGAGGAATTTAATTGAAACAAAAGAATTTGGAAAAATTTATTTGCGGGAAATTTCTTCCAAAGGTATTTGAATAGTAGACTAGACAGGAATATAGACAGGAATATAGACTTTCAAATCTGTGGTATTGTTTTAAGTACTTTTGTAGCTCAATTTCTTTAGGGCATTCCAGATTTCCTGGCGAATTTTACCTGTATAGTAATATAAAATTTGCTTTTTCAATAATTATTAGCTGCAATAAGCTTGAAATTTTTCTATACTAACTTTCTCAATTTGGAAATGTGGTTAGGATTTTGTGGTTTGTGGCATGAGATATTAAAATATACAGAAGGCTAATACCTTTATTTAGCTGCCATTTATTAACTGTAACACAGTCCTTCCGCAGATATCATTTTCTTAGGACCCTAGGAAATGGATAGGAATGTTTTTAATTCTCAAGAAGAAAATATTTAGTCTGACATTGGTGTTGAAAGAAATTTGTTACTGAAGATGGGTGTTTGTTTAGGTGCTGTTAATGTAGCCTTGACTGGTAATGTATGTGCATCAATATCTTTCAAACATCAGCACCTCTGTTTTGTAATGGGCTGATCTTTCTCTTCAGTTATTCATATTTTCTTGCTTGGTTTAATTTTTTAACATTGACTAATTTTGTTTTACATTGTTTCTCCTAGATGCCTCTAGATCTATCTCCTCTTGCAACACCAATTATAAGAAATAAAATTGAAGAACCTTCAGTTGTAGAGACAACTCATCAAGATAGTCCTTTACCTCATCCAGAGTCTACTACCAATGATGAAAAGGTTAGAACCTTTATTTTTCTCTTTTTGGAATTTATTTTTTGACTTTCTGATGATCTGTAAATTTATTGTATATGGTGATAGCCACGTTACTTAGCTAGTTGAAAGGAGGAGAGTTTTCATTTGCCACATTCCTGTGGATATATAGGTAACCTGATCAGTTCTTCAGCTGGAATAATTTCTTTGCTTCCAGTAAAGCTGGCCATCCAATAAAGCCAGAAAAGAAATAACATTTAGGATTTATGCTATCTTAGAAAAGACAAAAAGGGTCTTTATTCCTGTTTATGCATCATCATTAGTAATAATCACTTCAGTATGTGATTTACTGTGTTTTCATCCTGTTGAGTTTTCTTGAAGTACAGAAAATGAAGCAATTCAGTGAATTAATTATTTCTAGTCTTCAATAAATACAAATATTAGGAGCAGACCATAATAAAGCATAGAGATTGCTCTAGTCAATCTTCATGTGCATCTTCAGTGGGCAGTCTGTATATGAAGGGCTTAGGTGCCTTACTCCCAGAAATCAGCAAGACTTTTTAGGGTCACAGGTAATTCAGACTGGAAGGGACTGCTGGATTTCCTCATACAACTTTCTGCTCAAAGCAGGGATTATTTCTGAGACCAGACCAAGTTACTCAGCACTTTGCACGGTGTGGTCTTGAAACATCTGTGGGAGAGAGGCTGCACAGCCTCAGTGCCACCTGCTCCAGTACCAGGCTGTTTCTGTGGGCAGAAGGTTTCTCTTTGGATCCAGTCTGAACCTCTCTGGTTTCAACTCTTTCTCTTCTACTGCTAGAGGAACTAATGTGAGAGCAGCCTTAAGTGTGTGACAGCAGTTGAAAAGAGTTTCAATTATGATTTGTCCTTACTAAGCTTTTCTGAGTTTCATTAGTTAGCAAGGATGAGTAATCGTGGGTAATCAAGGCTATCATGCAGTCTCAAAAATAGTAAAAGCATTTTAAAAGAATGTATGTAAGGAGCTGTGTGGATTAAGTGAATCATAGTCCAGATCTTAAGTCTTCTTTATTTCAGAGGTTAGTTTATTTTTTTTTTGCTGCAAATACTTATTCCAAGTAATCTAACTTTGGCAGAAGATAATATTGCTATCTTCATATAATAGTGGTTCAGTATCTCGTTAGCATCATTACAAGTGAAAATTCTGTCTCGGTGCTTGGCAGTATTTATAAAGTTGTCACAGTGATGATGCAATTCCGGTGTGTCACTGTGACAGTGCTGCTGCTCAGTGCTGTTCTCATGTGTGATTGTAGAGACAAGCTGAGCCAGGCTGAGGGTGCTGCTTGGAGTGTACAGCTCAACGTGACCTGAAGACATTGAGAAATGTGAGCAGTGTTGCTCAGTTAGATTTTTGTGTTCTCATTCTGCAAATGTATTGAAGGAGAGAAGGGATTTTTTTCAGGGCATAGCTGGTTTTAAAATACATGTGCCACTGTAACCATTTTGTTGGCTGATATATTTTAGTAGCCTTAAATGATTACAGCCTATTAATGTATGTGCAAGGCAGTTCTAATTGTCCTTGTAGTTGTCAAAATAATTCCTTGGAGAGTCTTAAAAAAGTACTCTTAATTATTTTCCTAGTTTTCTGAGAGTTCCATGAGTGCTGTTAGGCTTCAGTAAGAGTCGATGCATTGCTTTGAATAGACTGAGATATCATTAGAAGTGTATAAAGTCTCGGAGCCCTAAAGTAATAATTAAAGTTTTCAAACATTATAGTTGTTTATTAACAGTACTTTAAAAGGGTGACCCTCAACAGAGTTTAAAAGTTGCTTAGTTATTGCCAAGTAATTAAATTACTTTAAAACCAGTTGTTTTCTTACAGTAATAATCAAATACAGTATTAGTTCTGGCCCACTACATTTTTTGTATAAAGAATTCTGTGCATTTTTGATAGTGTTGGAAAGTTACTGCATGAAATTTGCTTTTAGATAGAAAATACTTGCAAATATGCACACCAGAGAACACTTAAAGTAACCATCCTGTTCTGTAATTTCCCATTCAGTGGGTTTTAGTTTCAAGAATAGGAATTATAGGAATTGAAGAAGTCCTTTTAATAAGTCTAGTACCTTTGGGTGGGCTTAAACTTCTGTCCTGTAAGGAAAGGTAGGTGGAGGTAAGGTCACTTTCATTTAATCTTATGATTGCAAATTCAACTTCATTTTTCTTGTTCTTTAGCGGAATATATTTGCAATATATTTTATTCCAGACAAAATTTATACTTGCATTAGTGATGAATTACAATCTTCCATCAGACTGTTCAGCCTATGGTTTTGTTTTTATGTGCTTATAAAATGTCAGTTTCCTTTAAAGTAAACTTCTTAAACCTGCAGCTTATATTTTTGCCACGTTGTTGCAGTAACAGGCACCTGCATGCCTTTTTCAGTGTAACAAGAGCAAGTTAGCGTAAAGAGGAAGTTAAATACTTTTTCAGCTGTATAAACACACTCGTGAGTAAACGTGTTCTTTTAATGGCTGAAGATTGTTTCTGTTTCTTGTAAATAAAGCATAAATGCCATCTTTAATAACACAGAAACAATTGTACGTGAGGTTTCCATTTTCAGAACTTTACAGATTTATTTCAGAATTTTGTATGTTAATCCTTGACTATTGCTGAAATCTGGTTTCCATAGAACACTGTGTCTAAAAATTTCAGATTGTCCTTTTCCTGCTAGCTGTTAAAGCCAGGGAGAAACTCAGTTTTACATTTAGTATTTATTAGAACATGTATTAATTAAGCGCTTATAATGAACAGCAAAGAAGTATTCACAGAATGCCATCACTTGCTCACTTGTACATAGTTACCTGCAGCAGCAGTTGGGAGACCAATCGCAGCTGCTTGCCCAGAGGTAGGAGGTGGTACTGACGCATCAGTGACTTTTAGACAGGGTTCAGAAAGTGCTCAGAATCAGGCTGACTGGGACTCTGAGGAACCTAATCTAATGAAAAATGTTCCTAGCTGTGGCAGAAGGAATGGACTGGAATGACCTCTAAGGGTCACTTCCAGCTCCAAGCAATCTGTGATTCTGTGAAAGTTTTTCTAAGGGTCCATTCTTTATCAGATGTGCATACAATCTTGTACTCTTTGTTCACATGTAAGAACCACCATGATTTTGCATGTTGCCTGAATTGTGCAGCTTGTTCATACTAGCATACGGATTTAGCTGGTGTTCTGAACTCTGAATTTCCTACAGTCAAGCAGTTCAGTTTCATTTATGTTTTCCCTGTAACTCTTGAATAAGAGCTGTAAGATGTTATACCAAATTATTTATTTGCAAAGAAGTTTTTCATCCTGTCCTAACAATATGATTGGGCTTTTTATTCCTTTCTGTTTCCACAACTCTTTACTGGTTGTCTACTTTTTACTGAATGCTCATCTGTAGTGCTAAGTGCAGTGTTCCAACATTATATCCCAGATGGATAATAAAACAATTTCGCTTTCCTCAACAACAGCTCACTGTTATTCTCCAAAAACTTATTCATTGTAAATAGTCTTTCAGGTCCCTTGGGAAAAAGTGTGAATCAACTAGTGAACCCTGATGATGAATCTAACCTCTGAGCTTTTGCAGGGAGAAGATTTCATCATCTAAAGTCTTTTCTTTTGTAAAGCCCACTGTTTGCCAGCAAGCCTACAGTTCTGTGAATTGCTCAGAGGATCTCACACATTTGTGCATTAATATATGAAAAGACAAGCAATCTGCTAAGAGAGCTCAGACTTTACTACTTTGCTTTGTGGATGAATTTTCAAAACTCAAGCTTCATTCAAAGAAAATAATAGTCAGTCTAGTCTGTGTGGCACAGATACAGAGATATTCTCTTTGAATTGCAGTTTACCAGCAGAGCAACTGAAGTTTGCTGGTCTTAAGAATGTGATTTTATGTGTCATTGATTGCAGTAGCCATTGTCAAAAGAATAACTTGGAAAAAAGCGTGTCTGAAGGTAAATTTGAAGTCTGGCAATATCAAGGGTTTCCTGAGAAGGAAGGCATTGGTTACAGTAAGGCCTTTCTGGGTTTTCAGAAACAGCAAATACAGGTACAGTGTTCAATTGATCATGTGCTTTACCTGATTGCTAAGCTAAGAGCTATCGGGATTTCTGTCTGCTCTTTATTTGCACCTAGGAGAGTTTAATTTCTGTGCTCAGGTATTTTTTTTCTCCATCAGGATATGCATGTATTTTGCAGAGTCCTAAATATAGCATTCCAAGTAGTTTTATCACTCTAGTTAGAGAGCAACAGATAAAGGCTCAAAAAAATGTGGTGCTGTTGTTTTTACTGAGTCATAAATGTCTTGTTTCTCTTGTTTAAATCCAGAACAATGGACTGAAACTGAAATGTACATAAGGACACCATAAAACATTTTCCTTATTTGGAGTGTGGGTAAACATGATGGTGCTGGTAGTACAATGGGTTTCTTGGGGAAAAAAAATTAAAATCTGATCAAAACTGAATTAGAAGTAATAGTAGCCTAGCATAAATTGAGCCAGGTTTGTCATAAAATTAAAATCACTGTTGTTGAAACAATTTTACTTTGGTGGTTTAAATGATTCATCCAGAGGGGTTTTTTGGATGTTTTAATTGTATAATTGATTCTAATGTTACAGAAATTCTGATTTGTTCCATCAAACTGCATTCATTTAACAGTTGGAATTAGTGATTTGTAATTCTATTTTACAAACTGATGAAGCTTTGTTTCCTCAGGAAGTGTCACTGCAGCAGACTGCACAGCCTACATCAACAATAGTTCGTCCAGCATCGCTACAGGTTCCTAATGTACTGCTTACGAGTTCTGACTCAAGTGTTATTATTCAGCAGGCAATACCCTCACCAACTTCTAGTACTGTTATCACCCAAGCTCCATCATCTAACAGACCAATAGTGTAAGTCACATGAACCTTAGTAAAACGTTTTCTTGCAGAATTTGAAAATCTGACATTCAGTTACTGTTTCTGCAGTTATTGTATGAATTTGAGATGCTTTGGTGTAATGTGGTGCTTTACTACACATGAAACATTGGACTTATCACTACATGTGAGATATAATGCCATGTTCTCCACATCACTAAGTTCATATTTTTGATCTCCAAATAAATATTGCATTACACCTGTAAAGAAACAAACCAATTTAAAATAATGTGTAAATTTGTTCTCTTTCTGGATAAGTTTTCTTTTATATAGTTCATTCCTTTTTCAGTCCAGTTCCAGGTCCTTTTCCTCTGCTGTTACATCTTCCTAATGGACAAACCATGCCTGTTGCTATTCCTGCATCTATCACAAATTCTAATGTGCATGTCCCTGCTGCAGTTCCAGTAAGTAAGCATGATGCTATATTAATTTGAAAGTGGAGCAGATTTGCATAAGTGCAGCATAGAACTTAGTTTTAAGCACCTTGATAGCTGTTTTGGCTTCAGAGGGTAGTGCTGTCAAATGCTCTCTATTATGATAACATACTCAGGTTTTCTTCATTTTTATACTTTATCTGGTCAGCTTGTTAGACCTGTCACCATGGTGCCTAGTATCCCAGGAATCCCAGGGCCTTCCTCCCCACAGCCAGTGCAGTCTGAGGCTAAATTGGTAAGTGAAAAACTCCATTATTCCTCAAGAAGAATAACTTGAGAAATTAATTAAATTCTATTGCTTTTTGAAACAGCTTTAGTGTTCTTTTACTAGTCTAAATTCTGCAGGTACAAATTTAATAAAAACAGAGAAATAACAGCTGCATTTATTTTACAGTTCTTTCCAATTCCAGCCTATTTAGTTCCGTTCTTAATGGCTATTTTGCTCTTATTTTTAGTCATTCTTTTAAATAAATTAAATTTCTAACTAAACTCCTTCTTACTTCTTATATCAGAGAATCAGAAATGCTAGCTGGGAGAAAGACAAGATTAGTAGCATGTGAACACTTCCTTCAGAGAAGCAGAATGTTTCCTCCCAAAAGAATGATACTTCTTAAAAAACTCAGAAAAATGTGGTTTTTTTAATGTTTTCAGAATCTCAACCGAATATAGTCCATTTAGCAACTTTGCAATTAGATATGTAGTACTTATGTAGTTAACAAATTATTTTGTGTAGAGGTTGTTTCTGTTGCGTTGGGTGTTTTTGGGGGGAGTTGAAGATTATTTGGAAAATGCCTAAAACAAGAAAAAAATTGTTCAGGTTTTTGTTGGATTCGGGGGGGCTGTTCTTTTACTTATTATGAGTTACCATTTATGGTGGTAGTTTGAATCAATCAATTTATTGAAATATTTTATGCAGCATTAGGCAGTTGCTTCTCTTTTTTTATTTTTGTCTTATTTGTTCCAAGTGTTCTAAAGCAATAGAAAAATCTATTATTAAACGGTAATTAACCTATTTATAGATTTACAAGATGCTTCCATAAAAGTATCTATCCTGTGAAATAGTGTTCCTCTTCCTTCACCTCTTACTTTGTGCTAAAAGAGAAATCAGGAACACCTGCTAGATAAAATGTATTTTTCTGCATGGATATTGGTAAGTGGGAGGATGCCCTTAACATTCTTAGATATCTTATTTCTCTTGATCTAAACCTTTCTTTCCTTACCTGTTTTCTCAAGTCACAGTATGAAAACCAGTGAGTCTGGTTTTTCTGGAGGTAAGGGATTCCAGTAGAGTTGAGCACACCTGTACCACATTGACCAAATACTGAAACTGCTGTGGAGAGGGGCACTGACTCTGCTAATGCTCTCACTTCTTCTTTCATTGCCCTGCTCTGTTGAACACAATGACTTTTGAAATAGTGTAGAGGAGGACATAAGGGAAGAAGGTCTGTTTGTGTTCATCCTTGCCCCCTAGGAACGGGAAAATGAATCTTTAATACCTCAGAAAATACTTAAATGTAACCAGCTCTTAACAAATTAATTTACCTTAAATTCAGGAGAGAAGAATGTAAAAAAAGTAAAAACAAGAACTGTTTTCTTAGAAGCTGAACATATTTTAGAGTCAGGAGACTCACACTCTTAATTCTGTTTGAATTGAAGGAATTGGTTCTAAATTTTAGATGGGCAAGAAATTAGGATTTTAAGCATAATCTCAGTGATTTACTCTTAGAGTGATTTAAAGGCAGAAAGGAAATACATGTATGTGGTGAAGACTTTGATCTCACGTTGGAGGAAGCAATCACTCAAATGCAAAGGAAAACAAAGATCATTAGACTTAAAATTTAACAGTCTCATTAGCCTTCTCGTTACAATTTAGCTAATATATGCACTTCAGTGATTGCTTGTCCTTTTTTTTAAGTGAGACTGTAAAAAGGGTATTTGCAGTATTTCCATGTTGCTTAATATGAAGCATGAGCAGAATTCAAGAATATCAGAATTATGTATATTCCTTATGCTCATTTACTTTTATATAGTGCCTATTCACAGAAATAAAAAACCTAATTTCTTATCCCTCTGAAAGTAAAGGAATTTAATGAGAAACTTAATGTTTATGTAGAAAAGCCTCCAAGAGTAAGACTAATTCATTGTACCATGGGATGTATTGGCAGATACGTGATGGTTTATTAACTGCAAAGTTCAATTTAATTTTTTTAATTTAAATCTTCGTGTTACCAAACCCTTTCTTTTCATATGTCTCTTAAAAATAATTTTGCTTGCTGCATACTAAATTCTGTGAAGGTCTACTAACCAGGTTTATTTTTCACTTGTGTTCCTGGTTAAGCCAACAGAAGACAATATTTAGTTTTACTGCTCAGTTTTCATTTCGTTCATTGTTCACATTTAATGTTGAAATATAAGCTATTACACAAAAATTTAATAAATGAACAGTGTATGTTTCATGTATTAACGGTGTACTGCAATTTGTGGATTTATTGGTATGCTTAAGTTAGCTGAACACTGGAACATGTCCTGTGTCCTTTTGCCTATTATGGCCATGTTTCTTCTTCATGTTGGGAGGCAGTTCTGAAGGGCAGAGGAGTCCAGGACATCCTTTAAGAAGTAAGTCTTAAAGGTGCAGGAGCAGGCTGTCCCCCCATGCTGAAAGATGAGCCAGCAGTGAAGATTGGCCTGGCTGAACAGAGAGCCTTGGCTGGAACACAGGAGAAAAACGGAAGTGTGTGACTTGTGGAAGGAAGGGGCAGGCACTTAGGAGGACTACATGGATGTTGTGAAGTTATGCAGGGCCAAAGCCCAGCTAAAACTTAATCTGATTACTGCTGTAAAAGATAACTAAATATATTTCTGTAAGTACATCAGCAGCAAAAGGAGGTCCAAGGAGAATCTCCATCCTTTATTGGATATGGGGGGAAACATAGTGACAAAGGATAAAGAAAAGCAGAAGTACTTAATACGCTTTTTTTACTTCAGTCTTTAATACTAAGACTAGTTCCTCTCTGAGTACCCAGCCCCTTGAGTTGGAAGACAGGCATATGGAGGAGAGCAAAGCCTCTGTAATCCAACCTGCTACAGCACTAAGATACACAGAAGGTTATGGGGCTGGATGGGATCCCAAGGGTACTGATGGACCTAGGGAAGAATCTCTGCAAAGCCACTTTAAATCATTTACAAGCAGCCCTGGTTAACTGGAGGTCCCGTGTGACCAGAGGTCAGTAAATGTGATGCTCATCTTCAGGAAGGGCTGGAAGGAGGATCCAGGGAACTGCAGGCCTGTCAGCTTGATCTCTGTACTGAGGAACATCATGGAGCAGATGATCTTGATCATCATAGCACACACAGAGCAACCAGGGTCAGATCCAGCCAGCATGGATCCATGACAGGCAGACTGCTTGACTGACGTGCTTGGCTTCTGTGACAAGGTGACCTACTTAGTGGATGAGGAAAATGCTGCCAGTGTTGTCTACATGGACTTTACTAAAGCCTTTGACACTGTTTGCCACAGAATTCTCCTGGGGAAACTGCTCATGGCTTAGACAGGTATAGTCTGCTGGGTAAAAAAACTGGCTAGGTGACCGAGTCCAAAAAGTGATGATAAATGGAGTTAAATCTGGTTGGTGGCAGTTACAAGTGGTGTTGCCCAGGGCACAGTCTTGGAGCCAGTTCTGCTTAGTATCTTTATCAATGTCTGGGACAAGGGAATGGGTGCTCCCTCAGTCATTTTGCAGATGGCACCAAGTTGGGCAAGAGTGTTGGTCTGCAGGAGGGTAGGGAGGCTCTGCAGAGGGATCTGGACAGACTGAATCAGTGGGCTGAGGCCATTTGTATGAGGTTCTACATGGTGAAGTGCCAGGTGCTGCACTTGGGTCACAGCAGTCCCAGGCAGCACCACAGGCTGCGGGCAGGGTGGCTGGAAAGCTGCTGGTTAGAAAAGGACCTGGATGTGCTGGTCAGCAGCCAGCTTAATGTGACCCAGCAGTGCCCAGGTGGCCAAGAAAACCAGTGGCATCTTGTCTTGTATCAGAACCAGTGGTAGTGTGACCAGGGATTGTCCCCCTGTACTCTGCAGTGCTGAAAACACACCTCGAGTTCTGTGTCCAGTTCTGGGCTCATCACTGCAGGACAGACATTGAGGTCCTGGAGCATGTCCGGAGAAAGGCAATGGAGCAGGTGAAGGGTCTAGAGAGAAAGTCAGAGTGGCTGAGGGAGCTGGGGCTGTTTAGCCTGGAGAAAAAGCAGCTCAAGGGAGACCTCTTGCTCTCTACCTGGTGTAGCCAGGTCGGACATGGCCTCTTCTATATAGCAACTGATAGAATGAGAGAAAACAACCTCAAGTTGCACCAGGGATTTAGATTTAGATTGGATATTTAGGAAAAACTTCTTCTTGGAAAGGGTTGTCAAGTATTGGAACAGGCTGCCCGGGGAAGTGGTAAAGTCACTATCCCTGGAGGTGTTTAAATGACACGGAGATGTGACACTTAAGGTCATGGTTTAGTGGTGGACTTGGCAGTTCTGGGTTAATGGTCAGACTTGATCTTAAAGGTCTTTTACAGCCTAAACAATTTTATGAACCTGTGAAGTCTGTCAGCATAGTATTCTTAGTGTATTTTGAACAAAAGCCAGATGAAGGGGTGAAGCTGTGATGTTCCCTTCACAACATTCCCAGGAGTATAGATATTTGGAATTTTTTTGGCTGTTGCTTTATTTCTTACTTATTATTTGAGGAAAGTATTTGTTGTTCTTTATAGACGAACTTCGCAATCTCATGGATTTTTTCGTATTGCATTATAAAATATAAGAATAGAATAATAGCAATTAGAAAAACCATGCAGGAATAGATTTCTAACTTCCATGGGTATTTAAGTAAGTATGGTACTCTATGGGATGCAGAGTTTGGAAAGTTAGCATGGTTTATTTGTATCTCAAGGATTTTATCAGATCTGGTTTTGGCAGTTGCTTGAATCTCTCCTGTACTGAAAGACCATACTTGCTATTACGGTGTTCTGCATTTTCTATTATCATACCAAAATACTCTTTCAAGGTATTCCAAGTTGACATAGATGTGATAACTTCAGAGGTTGAGTAAAATTCCTGAAGAACTGGTTGTAGTAAATTTAATGTGAAATAGGACCAAGTTGTTGCATTGTTATCAGATCTAGAGCTGTCTTGCATAGAAGGTGCAGTTCCTTGTTTCGGATGGAATACCTGGCACAAACCAGGCAC